CCTTTCATTTGGTTTCCGCCGAGAGAGGCGACGGGGGCCTTCTCTCCTTTCTCTCTCCCCCTTGCATCTCGGTAGAGAGCGGCCGGCGCGGGTCACCCGCCCGAAGGTGAGCGGGAGGGTGCGCCTCTCCGGCTCGCCGGCAGCAACGCGCGCGCGGGCAACGCGGGCGAGCGCTCTTCGTGGGCCGCGAGGCCCGTATTCGCTGGACATTTACCCCGATTTTTACATTGCAGATAAAGTACTGGCCACCCTAGGAGAGGGTACTTTTGGAAAAGTTGTCAAGGTTAAGGACTTGCAAATGTAAGTGTGCCAGCTCACACGAGTACGTAGGTAATTTGTCTCGCGCGTCTCCGCTTGTCTATCTTTCTCTTTCTCTCTGTCGTCCATCTGAATATCCGTCCGTCTCTCTACGGGGTGTCCCAGACACAACAGGGACGAACTTTGCGAGAACGTAGATATTTACAGATTAAGCTGCTCTGAGCAAGAAAGTCCTTCATCGTATTGCGAATTACGCGCAAATTTTTAAGTTATTAAATAAGCCTCTAGACACGGCCGTTGTCAGTCATTAATAGCTCGAAATTGTGCGTGTTGTTCCGCAAAATAGCACGGGACTGAAAAAAGTTCATCTCAATCCGTTCTGTTTCCTCACGAAGTTTGTCCCCGTTGGGACACGCCGTACACGGAGTGTCTGAAAATTTCTTGGGATATGTGGTATGCAGATAGAACGCGACTGAACAGGAAAGTCGTGTGTTACTTTGTAAAATTGGCAATAATTAATTAATCTGTACGAGCTAACGAGCGCACGCGGGAAGCGCGGACTCTGTACAAAGAAAAATGGCTCACATTTGAAGATCTCCTAACAACGATGGGCATCAACTGATAACGAAAGGTGTTTCTTTTCGGCGCATAGCCTTGTGTCATGCCGCTCGCAGTTAATGCTCATCGTTGCTGGAACATCTTCAGAAATAAGCCATTTTTCTTCATACAGAGTCCGACCCGCTGTTTCCTACGCGATCATTAGCTCACACACATTAATTAATTCCCCATTGACTATTGCGAATTTTACAAAATAGTACATAACTTTTCTATCCAGTTTCATCTAACTGCTCACTTTCTACCTGCGCACCACGAGTCCCGAGAAAAGTTTCATCCTGTATAATATTTCTCTCATTTCCTCTTTTTCTCTTTCTCCCTCTCTCTCTCTCTCTCTCTGTCTGTTTTGCTCTTCGGCGGTCGCGTTCGCCTTCGCGGATCTCTTCTGGTCCGCGCGTCATCCTCGTTTTGTTCGCCGAGGCGAAATCCTAAATGCGCGCGCGTTACGACGACTCCGAGCGCGCGCGCGAGTGCTCGGCGCGGCGCGCAGAAATAGCCGTCCGGCGCTGTCACGAAATGACGCGCGAGTGGTCGCAATAATAGGATGGCCTTGCACTTTGTTTTACGGGCCGGGCGTTCCCGACGGCCGCGCGAATTAGATCTCTTTAGCGGAATACGGAATCACGGCTCGCGCGCACGCCGAGAAAGAGAATTTCCCTATTCGTGGGCGACCACTCGCCGCCTCCTCGTCTCTTCTCGGGACGCTGGATCTCGAATTGGCGTGACCCTTCTGCCCGGGTGCCGGATGAATCATGACGATGAATGTTGCAGGGATCACGTGATGGCTCTGAAGATCATCAAGAATGTGGAGAAGTACAGGGAGGCCGCGAAGCTGGAGATAAACGCGCTGGAGAAGATCGCCATCAAGGATCCCGAAGGCCAGCAGTCAGTATAATACGATCGTTCTCGCTCATTTCTTTCCGCTCTCTCACCTCCCATTGATTTTCCACGTTCCTTCCAATCCGCTAATTGTCTACCACGTCACGTTGCAGTCTTTGCGTGAAGATGCTCGACTGGTTCAATTACCACGGACACATGTGCATCGCCTTCGAGATGCTCGGCCTGAGCGTCTTCGATTTCCTGGTGAGTGCCGGCCGGCGAGCACCGTGACGACGACAATCTTCGGGCTTGACACTATAAGCGAGGGTCTTGTCTTTTGCAGAGGGACAACAGTTATCAGCCGTACCCGTTGGAGCACGTCAGGCACATGGGCTACCAGCTGTGCTACGCCGTGAAGTTCTTGCATGACAACAAGCTCACTCACACGGATCTCAAGCCGGAGAACATACTGTTCGTCGACTCGGACTACGATAGCACGTATAACAGTAAAAAGGTATGTGTGGGTGTGTGTGTTTATATATGTATGTGCCCACAGTTTTCGTCAACGTTCCTTACCGCTCTTCAATACCGAGCTTCAATACGGTCTGTAAAGTAAGCTGCTACATTCTAAAGTGTTCCAAAAAGCTCTTCCTTTTCAAGCGGAGGGACGTGAGACGCGTGAAGCGGACCGACATCAGGCTCATCGACTTCGGCAGCGCCACGTTCGATCACGAGCATCACAGCACGATCGTTAGCACGAGACATTACAGAGCGCCCGAGGTAATTTTAGGTGAGCATCCGTCTTAAAATATCTCCGATCACGCAGTGTTACATTGCGCGCGTTTATATATCACAGACCGGTCCTATTTTACCGTGTCGCGCCTCTGAATTGCAGAATTAGGTTGGTCTCAGCCCTGCGACGTTTGGTCCATCGGCTGCATCCTGTTCGAGTTATACCTGGGCATCACGTTATTCCAAACGCACGATAATCGCGAACACCTGGCGATGATGGAGCGTATACTTGGCACGATACCGCATCGTATGGCGCGCAAGACCAAGACCAAGTACTTCTATCACGGCAAGTTGGATTGGGACGACAAGAGTTCAGCTGGCAGATACGTGCGAGACAATTGCAAGCCGTTGCACGTAAGTGTCGCTTTGGTGAAGTACGTAACGGCGCGTTGAGAGCTGAAATTGCGTTGTAAATAAGGCGAGGAGGCCAATAAGACGCCCTGTGCACAGATGGATTTAGCACAGCGAAGACAGTTATATTTTCTCTTTACTTCGTGGAGACAAAATTATTCTGTATTTTTTTTCATCCAGACGTTTCGGTCCCAATCCGGACCTTCTTCAGTAGTGCTGTTTACTAGAATCGTCACCGTCGTAACTCTTAGACTATTTATTATAAAAAAAAAAAAAGGAGAAAAATTATACATGTACTGCGTTACATGGAATTTGCGCGCAACGTCGACTCGAGATCAATCGCTTCGAAAAGAATCAGCGAGTATCTTCTGTAAACCCGTATAGATTTTTGAACGCAAGCACAATTTCAATCTCTCCAACGAGAAGTCCGATATTTTCGATACTACCACGCACATCTCGTGATTCCGTCGAGTAAATTCTCTTCTCCGTCCGTTGCAGCGTTACATGCTATCGGATGACGAAGAGCACCGTCAGCTGTTCGACCTTGTCCAGCGAATGCTGGAGTACGAACCCTCGCAGCGCATCACCCTGAAGGACTCATTGACGCATCCGTTTTTCGACGCCCTGCCGGCATCTCAGAGATTGCCTGACCCGCGAGCAGCCGGTGACTCCCAACAGACCCACGAACGATCACACTCGCTCTCTCGATGAAGCTAGGAAAGGGACCGACTTCCCTACTGGACAGACACTCCACTTTCAACGACACTACTGCCCTACGTCTTCGTTCTGTTATCTTTGATTTTCATGAAAACGTGTCTTTCGTAGCAACGAAAACTCGATGATGCTTGAAACGCGAGACTATTGGAATAAGGCGCGTGCGCACACGGTGCAAAGACACCGGTAAAATTTGGAGATTTTTCACGACGACATAACGATTCGCATTTGGTCTCTCTCGAGAAACAAAAGTAAACACCGGAACCTGTGCACGTAGGTAAAGCAGTAGTGCGGTGGTGCCGTGGAACTTGGACTAATTCGAGTGTATTCGACGACGAACGATCAGGCTGCTGACTTCTAAAAGAGACAGAGGGGGGAAAAATGCTCCTGATGGTTGCGTCCGCAATTTGCTTTTACCACGAATTAAACGATCATGGAAACGATGACGAGGTCCCTGTTACTGGCGCGCCAAGGTGCCAGTGTGTCTGCTCAGTGTAGCGTAACAGAGTCCCGCAATTGTAAACAATTTTTTAAGCGCTCTGTACATTTTGTCCCTTAAATTTATTACCATGTTATAATATTAATCCACGATAAAAACGAGAGTCGGGAGTAAAGATCACCCTCGGGTCCGCAGTTTGTAATAACCTGTTCGTTATAAATTGACGACCACGAACGTGTTCTAGCAGTAAGTAATCGGATCTAGTAATATAATGCAGATAGATTTACGCGTACATATGTTGGTAGAGCTGAGAGAGAGAGAAAGAGAGAGAGAGAGAGAGAGAAAGAGAGAAAGAGAGAGAGAGCGTTATCGAGAGAAAATGAATGAACGAACGAACGAGGGAGGGAGTGTGTGAGGAACTATCATTCATAATTCATCGTTGTGAATTACATGCATCTTTAAGACTTTAGAATACATCATTATCTTAGAGGATGTTCTCTCAGTGACCCCTTTCTGCGTTTTTTTTCTTTTTTTTTTTCTTTTCCGCATTCGGACGGAGCCAACTCCTCCTGTAATTTCATTTCTGACTCGGCGCGACCGTACGCGGAGGTTCCGCGAGATTTCATTCACCGCGACCTATGACTTTTCGTTTCGCTGATTTTGCCGCCGGCGGTGTTTTTCTTTATTTCTGGCCTAAAATTCGTAGCGAAAACAACTTAGCAGTCTCCGTAGACTCGAGTTTCATCGTTTTGCGAGAGTCCGAGTTCCGAAATCGAGGAAATGCGTGCACAGAACGTTACATGTGTGTTCGCACATGTGAAGACCTGTNCCTGTCTGCCCCCCCCCCCCTCCCCTTCACCTTTTTCGTCACAGAAACCTTTAATTTGCACGACCGTGTCACCTCGCGCAAGAAAAAAAAGTTTTGTTTGACCTTAGTTCGCTACATCTGCGAGATATTGACGAATGTTAACACGTGCTGCTCGTCGAACGGGGGATGTCTGCGAAAAGCGATGTTACGAGTAGCAATAAATACATTTTCTTTCACGTCAGCGTCGAAGTTTATTTGTTCAACCAGCAAACCAACATACTCATGCCCAGTCGACGACATACTTGAACAACGTTGCATCAAACATGAGCGAATTCATTCTTCCGACCTCGACAAAATTTCTTTTATTCTTTTTTCTTTTACAAACTATAGTCGCATTCTCACGTAACGCGGTGCTATTCGGGTGGAGCCCGATCAACAGGCTCTCGGGGAAAAGTATAGGCGTAAGCGAAATTCGTTGACAATTGCCGGGAACACTTTCGTGTGTATGCGCGCTCGCTCGCTCGCATGCGTATGCGGTGTGTGTTCTCGTTCGTGGACCCAAAAGAATCGTGCGTAAAGTCAAAGTCTTCGTTGGATTATCGTAGGCATTACAAGTGCGGCCATGAATATACTTGGGGCACGGACGACTTGTAGCTCGTGTCGTACAGTTGCGCCTTGATGAAGGCCTCGCAGTCCTTGGGCTGTGGGTAAACGCTCGCCAGTGCTGCGTGAGAGTCAATTTGCGTTAATAATTAAAACCGTGAACGGTCGACGGTATTAATGATACGTCGCGCGATCTTTCAGGCAACGTACGGAAATACCACCCTGAGGGGGGGTATTGCGTGTTACGGTGTAACACAGCAATAACAATTCCCAACAACGTCTGTACTCACAATTCTTGTAAGCGTACTTCATGATCGCGCAGGCTATATTCATCGAGCACTTCTTTATGTCGGCCAACGGCGGGTAAAGATTGCCGCTGTTCAAGTCGTCTTGCGACACCCGCTCGGAGAGAGCCCTCGCAGCGATCAGGAAGGTTTCCTCGGGAATGGTGCGCATGCCGGCGCATATCGCGGCCAACGCGATCCCAGGGAAGATGTAGCTGTTGTTACCCTGGCCGGGATAGAAGGTCTTGTCGTTGTACTTCACCGGCGGGAAAGGCGAGCCGCTCGCGAATACGCATCTTCCCTGTTGCGATTCGAACGATTAATAAACGGTCCCAAAGAGAGCTTCGTTAGCGCGTAATTGCACCCTCGTTAGCGCAAGATGTGTCAGCAGAAATTGCAAGAAAGACATATCGTTCCACGCTGACTCGCACTTTCTTGCGAATCCGCACAATCGTAGACTCGATCATCGCCTGATTATAAACTCGAACTCCGAAATGGTGAACGATTTTTCTCTTTAAATGGAAAACAAAAATTCTTTTGCACGAAGGAAATATTGTAAGAATTGCAAAATTTTGCAATGCCGGATCATACCGGCGATTATGGACTGTAATTGTTACGTGTGTTGTAATTTTAGTGATGATACAATGAATTACATCATTTCAGTTATAATTCCGGTAATGATCCAACGTTGCAAAATTTTCACGGTAATTATCATCGTAATATTTCCTACGTGTACATACGAATGCGTATTTCTCTCTCCCGAGTTCAAATTTTAACGCTGCTTTGGCGCTCTTACGGGCAGTTTGCGCCTACTTAGACACCCTATAGACCAAATCTACTTGATTATAGACTTTGATGCTACCTCGAAGCTACAGATACTCCCCATATTTGCATTATTAAAACCACATCAGTATTCAAAACAATCCGTTTCGGCGCTGAAAACTAGGAAAGTGGAAAATCGAGATATCATCGTGATCAGAATAGAATTAAATTATCCGTCATTATCATACATCGGATTAGAATTGAATCTGTTACTTTCTATCGTATTGTTTTAGAATCAAAGGTTTAACGACGAGAGTCAAAATTTCGACTCGGGATCTCCGATTGAAGCCCGTCCTGATCTCTCGCTGAGAAAAATACAAATTCAGAGATATCTCGTTAAGATATCTCCCGGATGCGAGGCAATTGTGCAAACGTCATTATTCTCGCAGCAGATTTACACACCTCTGTAGCAATGTACGCTTGTTCGGCGGTGCACTCTGCCTTGCTGGTCGGGTTGCTCAGAGCGAATATAACCGGCCTCTCGTTGTTCCGTGCCATTTCCTGTAATATTTCCGTCGTGAAAGCGCCTGCGATAGCGGCAGCGCCGATGATGACCGACGGTTTGGCTATCTTCACGACATCCACCAGGTTGTCGATCGGCTCGCCTTCGCGCGCGAATTCCAACTTGTGTTCCGTCAGCCCACCGCGCGGACGGTTCTTCACAATCAGCCCCTTCGAGTCCACCATCCAGATTTTGCGCTTAGCTTCCTCCTCGCTCACCCCGTCCTTCTGCATGGCCGTCACGCACAACGCGGCGATACCTAGCGATGCCTGAGCGAGCGATTTAAAAGAGAAAGTTTTAGTTCTAGAATTTTATTTAATTTCTTCGCAGCGACTGATCGTAGTCAACGTCGCGATCGCGCGTATAACTGAATATCAAATTCCCGGAAACTTTCATACGTGAAAATTTCATGAGACACATAGTGTTGTCGACTGCGAGGCGCGAAAGCTGAACAGTGCGAGTCGCGGAGTCAAGCTTTATTAAATTCACATGGCACGATGCAGCACTTGGAAGTTAATCACGGCCTGAAACGGAGCTACGACGTTACTCGCCCCGCTCTCTCGGAGAGAAGATCGAAAGCCGTGGAAGACGCTCTATTAATAGCTCCTTCTCGTAACTTACGTAAGTTACTCCAAATGCCGGACAAATGTTTCGACAGTTACCTCACCGGCGCCCTGGAACACGATCGTGTTCTCCGAGAGCTTCTTCTTCGTGATGCAAAGCGAGGCCAGTAAACCGGCGACGGCGACAGAAGCGGTGCCTTGAATATCGTCGTTGAAAGTGCAATAATCGTTGCGATACTTATTGAGCAGCCTGAAGGCGTTGACGTTGCCGAAGTCCTCGAATTGGATCAACGTGTTCTGACCGAATCGCTTCACAGTGGCCTGCATGAATTCGTCCAACAAGTCGTTGTAGTCTTGTCCGGTGACACGTTTGTGCCTGTGACCGATGTACAGAGGATCGTCCAATAATTTCTGCAAGACGAACACAACGTCAACTATCTGCCTGTACAGGGCGACATGCACCGGGAGATGATTCTTGGTATGAAACGACCAACTTTTTCTCTTTACTAAAATAGCATACGAATGGCAGTTTTTTTTTTTTTATGAGAGTTCTTCAAAGCTGTCAAATATTAGCATAGTTGGTCACAGGCGAGTCAGGCGTGCGCGAACCGCGAAATCATAAAATATCATGAGTCACGCAGGCCTTTTTCTCCTATCTCGGAAGGTTTCATTACGCAACTATGAATAATACCTGAATTTACCGCTAGTTTGAGTAGAATTCTTATTTACACAACCTCCGCAGCACCATTTCTGTCCCTACAACCGAGTTTTCGTCTGGATCCGAGGATAACAAATTCAGTTACACTAACGGAGTTATTTTTTTCAGTCGTGTCATACAAAAACTCGACTTGAAATCGATAAGATCGATAAAATCGACAAGATAATTCCGGAGGAAAATCCATCATTCGATGGCGAAGAAACCGAACTTCGAGCGCAAATATTCAATATTCGCGAAAGTCTAGTCTCGAGTATATTCCCGGGGAAATTTATCGGTGAATTCCTCCGCGGATTGCGACACACGCGAAGAGGTGTCACTGGACACGCCGGACCGTCTGTTCGGAGGACAGCTCGTTTACCTGGTTATTAGTGCCAACGTCCAAAGTGATAGGCAAGCATTGATGCGGCTTGATACCGGCCAACGCGGTGTACAGCGACAGCTTGCCTATGGGAATGCCCATTCCCTGAGCGCCCAGGTCGCCCAAGCCGAGTATCCTCTCACCGTCCGTGACGACGATCGCCCGCACGTCCCGTTCGGGCCAGTTCTTTAGGACGTCGTAGACGTGGCCCTTATCGTGGATGCTTATGAAGAGACCCCGCGGCCTGCGATACACCAGGCCGAACTTCTCGCACGCCTGACCCACGGTCGGCGTGTACACCAGCGGCATCATGCCGGCCACGTCCTCTGACAACAAACGGTAGAAGAGTTTCTCGTTTCTGTCCTGGGGGAACAAGACCGTGCGTCAGAATTAACGTAAAAGGGAGGCCTGACGAAAGGAACGGCGAGCGGAATGAGAACGTGTCTCCCCTAGCCGTGAGCGAACGACGGTGATACGAAAATCGCCTTGTTCAATGTACCAGTAAGCCTATCAGGTATATGTATTTCGAGAGATCGTCGGTGTAGCGCTCGAGATTACGGCGGCAGAGGCCTAACTGCTCCTCCTGGGTCTTCACGGCCGCCGGCAGGAGACCGTGTATGCCCAGGATCTGCCTCTCTTCGATGGTGAACGCCATACCCTGAAATGCGAAAGAGAGAAAATTCGTGTACACGTGGTAAAACAAATTAGTATCAATTCCAAACTCACGGTCTCATATACAGTCTGTCTAATAAGAGCGTGACCGACATCACTTTTGAACTATTTATTATAAAAAAGAAAATGAAAAAATTAAGAAATTTAAAGAATAAACGAAGTCGAAGACTCATCGAGTACATCGAGTACAAAACATATCATTCTACTGCTGAAAAAAAAAAACGATTACTCAGTTGACTTTTCTTCTTCTAAATAATAATTTTTAATAAAGAATATTTTCTTGATAATAGCCTTAAACAATAAGCTCATTATCGTGTATTCAACAGAATAATATGTTCTCTTCTCAAGAATATTATAAATTTTATCGGGGGAAAAATTAAATTCGGTTAATTTGAACAAGCAAATCGCAATTTGCTTTAACTTCCAATATTCCTGATTGAAGTATTAAACCATAGGATCCAGAATATATTTTGAAGTAATTCGACGCTTACGATTGAACTTATGATATTACATGTGTGATAATAACTTATGATATAACTTATGATAAGATTTGCGGATATATAAACTTGTGAAATATTTGAAACAAGCAATATTTATTCAAATGAGGTATGTATTTTTCCGTGTGTACGTCAATCTCGAATGTATGTATCAAATCACGTGGAAAAAAGGAGCTTATTATTTCCAGACCACTTTGAATTTGCTGTTTTCAAAACAGACATTTTTTTCACACATTTGTCTCGCATTTGAAACGTCGTGATGTGTCGCCGCTGCGCGCGATGTGTTTCCTTGTCACACGATTAGTCGCAAAAAGATTTGTTATCCACAAGTCAACTTTGCGAAAGAGGCGTGTCTGTTTGACTTGTTTGTCGCTTTGATCACATCCGAGAGAAGCGAGGAGTTGCGTCCACCGACGCCGCATTGCCCCGTGCATTGAGCGTGAGTGACAGGTGATCAGCTGATAGTCGTTTCACCTCGATATTTGCGAGCGCATTGGTTGAGTACGCGCGATCGTTACGAGATGGGTGAAGAGTGATACGACGGAGCGATATCACGTGTCCGCCCGAAATTGCCTGCGGGCCGCTCGTACTTCCCATGATCCACATTTCGCTTTATCAAGAATGGTGACGCCGCAACCGCTCGAGGCTTCGCTCTGCGGCGACGTACAATTAACATGTGTATTTAAACGAGCCCGATATGATGGACATTGCGCGAAAGAGTTTTAAAATTTAACGAACGTATTAAATAAAATTCTCGGAGAGGCAGATGAGTGCACAGAGAGAAAAAGGTTTCTTTAAATTTCGTATTTCTATTTGTTTGGCTAAAATTTGTTTCATAGAAACAACATGTACGAAATATCACGATAAAAGAGAGAAATCGAAGGAACAGATTGAAAAAAGAATCATCTGCATCACATAGGAATACTAAAGAGAATGATTTAAAGAAATGCAGATTACACGAGCGGCCGGGTTGACGCTTAACGATCCCGCAGTTTCAATTCAGTTCCTCGCGAACACTCCCCCGTGTTACGTAATGACGTCACTCATTTTACGCAATAGGTCACAACTTGCAATTTAGAAAAGTGATTTTTAATCGCGATGCAGCATGAATAAAAGAAATTTCTACATGCATCAACGGACTGTGGACGACGAATGTGGACGTACTGTCGACACAGTGACATGGTTATATCTCTTTTAACAGGGACACTGCCAGTATTTTTTAAAGCAGATGTTCAGCCAGGTCACCTTTGAACCATCGCTCAATTAATCGTCCCGCAATCTACCGTTCACGCGTGACGATTGTTCCGTCATTAAAATCGAAGAAATGTTACCTTCGCTCGCTCGCGATCTTGAATGCGTCATCGAAACGGACGGATCGATATTGATTGCATCAACGGTTATACCGGCGAACGTTTCATCACGATGCACACGAGCGCACAATTAATTGCCATTCGCCTCAGTGTAACGTTTTCGATACTTTCCAGGTTACAAATTGAACAGTTGATTGAGAGTCGAGCAGATCACGAGCGCGAATAAATTTGTTATCCTCATGAAATTATATATTTTTGCATATATATGAGAGAATGTGTGAATCTTAAATTGATATTCTAATTTTATTTTCCGCATACGAAACAGGAAATAAGACTTGAATAAATTAATTACTTGAATAATTTAGTGAAATGAAACAAGGAATATTAATTACCAAAGTAAAAATCTACGAACGAAACGGCGACCGGCTATTTCTATGATCCAAAGGAACGATATCGTCCCGATGTCTTCTCCCGACCGAAAAATTGCCGAACGGAATCGCGACAAATCGCAGACACAGAGAATAACGTAACAACGCGCGAAATAATAGCGCGATAACGCGAACGAATGTCTCGATCAATAAACGTCAAATATCGAAGATTATGGTAATGTACGACGTTATCCGGCTGACTTATTTAATCGTGGTTGAACCACATTGCTTCGCGATGATTCGTTATACTATATTTCATTATAGTATTCCACCGGGAAAGACTTCGGCACGCGTGTGTATTATTTATGCGTGGCGCGATAAACATACCCGTGCTCGCATCGATAATCGAGACATTTGCTGCATTTCCTTTGGCTAGGTCAATTTGGCTTCCTGATTTCTTTTCATAAGTAAAATGCGTAAGTACGAGACGTACGACGTGTACCCGCTCGCGCGCTACTTTCGATCCCCTTGAACAGTCAACGCTTTCTTTCTTAATTCAAACATTTTCGTCGAAGAAAACAGTCGATTTCGGATTAGTTAATGTACGACTGCCGCTAAAATGCAGAATGATTCATTCTCTCCAACTATCTTTTCCCTTCTTTATAGAGCAAATATGTACGAACTTGTCAGACGACGTGAGTTATCGGGCTCTATAAAAAGTGCAGAAAAAATAATCAGATAAGAATCTCTGTGTGTGTGTATATGTGTGTGCTTGTGTGTGTGTGTTATCGATACAATGCAATACGATATCTTGTGTCCATTTAACATTAATGCCGATAACGTATCTATTATGTGATAATTGCATCGCGCTATTACATGTCCTGCTAATTACATGCCCTGTTATATAAGGTTGAATTCTCGAACAAAAACAGGATTTACATATAAACCTTACATATAAACTTTAATTAACGGTATTCGCAGCTTTCGACAGCTAATCTTCTCCAAAATATAAACGACTCGATCGCTGGTTGTGAATTGTAATCAAATCTAGTTCAACGCTCTTGCGATGTCGAGCCTGTATTTTTCCACTGAGTGAGTGGTTGCATCAAACTATCTCTTAGTTTGCATATTCGGTGGACACTAAGTTATTTCTATTGAAAAAAAAGTGAAAGCATATGGAAATGCACAGAAACAAAAATGCTAAATTCAAGTGAATAATTAATCCGGTACTACTTAGCAAATCTTTACTTGGATCAAATAAATTTCACTTGAATAATTTATCTTGGGAGAACATTTAATTATAAATAATGAGTAATATTTACTTGATCCAAATAAAAATTTTCCGAGGAATAATGATTTACTTGAATCTAACACTTTTTTTGTATATTAACATGATTTAACTAAGAGTTCATTTGTACAGTGAAGAAAAAATATTTAGAATTTTAAAATAAATAAAGTTTATGTCACAGAAATTCTCTCTTCTTTCCATAAATAAATTTTTAAGTCCTTTTTTTCTCAGCATACGTTTAAGGATTAATATTTATATTATCGCTATTTTTTAAGCTTTCCAAACGTAACCACAAGCATCCGGATGTTTTTCACGGGATTTGCGCCGCGAAGCTCTTTCCTGAATACCCAGAAATCAAACGTGTTTCTCCGACAAAACACAATGTTTGCGGTATGTTTATATTCAGGTATGAATAAGGTGATAATAACGACAAGGCTATCTGCAAAAGTGCGCTCTTCTCCGGGAAAATCACAATCGCGTAACAAAGTGAACAAACGGTGACTTCTTTACGCGTTTCAATCGCATCAACTACGTGCGAGGCGCAAATAAAAAATGAAACTTGAAGCTCACTCTTCGTCGTCGACTGATTTCGTAAACGAGAGATCCCAGCAATTTTACGACACAAATATGTTTGCTCCGTGTTAAAAGAACGATCACGTGAGTGCGTAAAAGTAGGAGACGGGGTAGCCAAGCCGACGGTGAGATCCGATCACCGATAAGAAAAAAAAAAAAAGAACGGAAAGCGGATTTCGAGAATTCCATCTGCCGGGGCACAGGAAGATTCGGGGTGTGCGCGAATCCGGGTGTCGAGTCGCGCGGAACACAAGCAAGCAAGCGGAACGAATACCCTTCCGTCCAGAGCGAGCAGGGTCTCGGGGATGCGCGGCGTGCGATTCTGCTCCGGCACGAGGCACCACCAATCGTTCAGCTCCTTCATCCCGGAGCACTCTCACTGAGACGAGATCCACCGTCGAACTTTCGCACATCCGAATTTCCGCATCCCGCGACAAACAACCGGCCGTGGAAACGGTTGCCGGGGTTCTTGACTCCCCGTGACACGGCGTCCCTTCAGCCGGTGCACGGATCGATAAGCCGCCCTAGGAATTCTTGAATATAAAGTGACTCCGTGACCTACCGCAAGTGACCCACGCACGCTCGCCCGCTCGTTTGTTCGCTCGCTCGTTCATTTCGCGAAACGAGAACACTCGGAACACACGATCGTCGCCGAAACCAACGCCTGGGACGAACGTGTACTGAATAGGAAGTATTTAATAATTTATTCGCGGGATATAAGGTTTCTTTCGCAGAAATAAACTTCATTTCAACTTGAAATTGTATGTCGTGATATACAATATCAGGAATATGAAAACAGCAGGCCAATAAGAGCCGAGCGCGATTATTGGCGCAGGTATGTTATTTATGTGCGCTGAAAAAAAAGACTTAAAAATTTATCTGTGAAATATAAGATTTATTTTACGGAAATAAATGTTTATTTAAATACAGCAAAATAAAATTTTCCCCAAGAGACGTCCCAAAAATATCAGAGCATCTCTGGGATGTCTCTAGGATGTTTTTTAAACATTTGTACTATATAGGTTTTAGCCAAGAGTGAATTTTTCTTTTGGCTTCGAATTCTTCGCGATGGACGATAACAACTGCTATTTTTGGTTACGTTGGCAGCCATTGGGTACTGATTATATTTCAACCATTCACATTACTTATGGTAATTTTCTTATCTATGAAAATGCTTCCTTGGTAGTCTTCGAGTCTTGCAGAAGAAACACAAAAATATGATCGCAGGCGCTTCGGGAAAACAGTAAAAAGGGACTGAAAGAAGAATTTAGTAATAAGTACTAAGATTTGGTGAATACTTGCTGACGAATATTTTCGATTATTGCAACCAAACAATTTAGAGTACCGTATATAAATAACTATATAATATATAGAGTTCTATAGTACTATACAGTATACGGAACTAAATTATTTGGTTGCAGCAATCAAATATTTGATCGGCAAATATTCGCCAAATTTTCGTATTTATTACCACACCGAGGAAAAGAAATTGAAATTTTGCGAAATAAATGTTTATCGTGACGTTTTCCTCGATATTTATCAGTTAGAAAGAAATTTAACTGCGATGGCGGAATATATATATTTTTGTGAAATATACTTGAGTTTTATCGTTAATTAGCTCGTTTGCCGGGAATAAAGTTTTATTTCGCCGTATTTAAATAAACGTTTATTCCTGTGAGACAAACCTTATGCATTTCACAATGAAATTTTCAAGTCTTTTCTCTCAATGTGTGCGCCAAAATACATGGCAGAAAATTCGAGGATAAGATTCGTGATACCTCAGGACCGTGTCGGGCCGTGAGCGGAACACCCGGAGGCGTCCGAGAGTCCCGAGACTGCGCAATCGTGGTGGCCGTTACGGCACGAGGAACTCCGTTATACTTTGCGGAGTCATCCTGTCATTTTTGCTGCCGAATCATAGCGCGTGCGCGCGCGACACTCTTCTCACGTTCTCCGAGCCGTTGGCAATTTTTCTGCGCGACGAACTTTCCTTCGACTGTTGTGCAGAAATCGCCGGATTTCTTTCGCGCGTCACACATCAATTCGCGCGAGTCGCTGCTTGCGATTTCCCCGCGGACGTGACATTTTCTCGCGACATGGGTATTTACCCGGTCACTTTGATTTCTTTTCCGTCCGCGATCAAAAGTTCCTCGCGATCTACAGTTAATGATTAGTTCGCAATTTTCCCAAATTGCAATGTGCGTGTGCACCTCTTCGCGTTTCTCTTCATCTTTTTCGTTACTTTTGGGACGACGACAAGAAGATTTTGCGGAAATTGCGCAGACGCCGGTTCCCTTGAACCAGATTCGGGTGTCCGGGTGAAAGTATCCTTCGCGGAAATCTTTTGTTCTTTAATGGGTTCTGCGTGAACGGTCGATACCAGAGGAAGACCTAAGGAACGATGACGCGCTCGTTGCTCAAGCAAGATCGACTCGACTTTAAGGAGGCTCGCTCATTAAGTGCCGTATTCTCAGTGGCGCATCAAAGAAGCCTTTCATAAATTTACTATCTTTACTGTATGAGCAAAATTACGTTTTTATGCATTTACTTCACTGCCCGAATGGTAAATGTTAACTTGAAACGGAGCTGAAATAAATATATACGTACACAGGTAAATATATACGTACAAGGTGTTAAAACAGATCGACGAACTTTGAAGGGAAATAGAGGATTTTAAAATAAACATTTTTGGCTAATATTACTTTTTTCTACGACGTTTTGTTTGAATATTATATAGTATAAATAAACTATAAGGAAACTATAAGGAAAAATCAAATTCCTCCATTAAGGCTATCTCGCCGCAGCCATCATGGTTTGTGACTTCATAAATGCGCGAGAAGTACCTTAATGGAGGAATTTGATCTTTCCTTATAGTTTATTTATACCATATAATATTAAAACGTTGTGGAAAAAAATAGTATTAAGAAGAAATATTTATTTTGAAATCCTCTTTTCTCCTTCAAAGTTTGCAAGTCTAATTTTTTAACATCCTGTGTACGTACAACATTATAAATACGAAAATATTATTATTTTTTAATTTCCTTATTATGTGCTACATTTCTACATCAGTTGAACTGATAGAGATGTACAGCTAATAGAAAGAGGCATGTAAGTATTGAAATATATTCATATATATGCATATAAATATCTATAATATTACTATAAATTATAAACTTCCTACTATTATATATTTTCAAAACGAAACAGTCTATAATTCTGAAACTTATCCATAATATCTGTATATTAACCTTAAACATCAGGACTGTTTTCTAAACTTCCATCTTACACACAAATATGTCAAAATAGAAGAAATATTGAATTATATATTATGAGATTTCTACATGTTCCTGCACGTACAAGTTTATAATTAAATGTTTCGGAAACGGTACGGTAAAGATTATTGAAATTCCTGTTGCTCATTGTTAGTTCAATCAACTTTTGTATCACGCCTATATTACAAGTTTATCTTATGTTCGGTCAAACCGAGAAGTTCTCGAAACTCTTTATATATTATATAATTCACGTCGATCTGCAATATAAATCGCTTCGCGTTGGCGATACCTCGGTTCGCCTGCGCAGCGTTAACAGGTGGTCATCGATCGAGCTATAATCTCGTTGATAATTATTGCGTAACCGTAAACGTATTCGAAAAGCACTTTCAGCAAGCACTTGAGAAAGCGAGGTAACTCGATTCCCCGTCTCATTACTTTCGTGAATCCTCACGTTACGCTTCTACGCGGGTCTACCTTCGGACCCGATCGATCGGAATCGCAAACCCGCCGTCGACCGTCGCGCGACAGTCGTCTACGCATCTTCGTAGAAAGAGAAACAGGCGAACCATACGGTCACTTCGTTGCAAAATTCCCCTTGGAAAAGAAAAGCTCGATGCGAAATTCGACGGACAACGGACCTCCCATCGATAACCAACGAAGAAGCCGACGAGAGCTCGCTGATCGCGCTAATTCAAGGGAACCACCAGTGCTGTGAAACAAAATAAACACGTAGAGATCCCTCCCCCTGTCGTTTCTCTGCCGCTTTTCTGAAATCCCCGTCTCGCAAAATCTCGTCCGAAATTCTCAGTGACCGCCACCACCGGTCGGCGATTTTCGGCAGGCCGCGCGTCCAAATGTCAAAGGCGCCGCGCGCGACCGTTTCGCTCACCGTCCCGAGCAGTATCGCGCCGGACGATGTTTAATTATTACGTGAGAGAGACGCGCACACAGCCTACCTTGTTGAGCTGCGGATCCCTGATGTGGTCGAAGCCGCGCAGAAGACCGGCGCAGGGCGCGTCGCCGCTACCTCGCTGACCCAGCTGATCGCGTTCCAAGCTCGACATGACCAACGTTTTACTCTTGCTGCTTACGGGCTGACTACTGCCGTGGGTCCTGCGAAACGAACGCCCGGTGGTGAGCCAGGAGTGGAGGGAAAGGCGGGCGCAAGGCCGACGGTGCGTCGGTAGGGTAGAGAACGCGTTGGTGACGATGTGTGACGTATTCATCGCGTCGGCAAGTTCAAAGGGTGCGAGGGAGAATTAAAGAGCACCGCCGTATCTGGCGGCGTTTCGCGGCTTACGACATCGCGAGGCGAAAAATAGCAGACTGTTTTGAAATACGGCTGACAGACCGCAACTTTCGTCGCTATCGTTGTCTCCCGGATATACTTTTGTCGGGGAGGCAGATGCACCGGTGAGGCGGCTCCTTTACACGGGACATCGCAAATGCGTAAGGCGGCTTCTCGGAAAATTCCTTTGTCGAGGTCGATTTTTCATTTGATATTTAATTTAGCTTTACCATTTCATATTGGACGTATGCGATTGAATTGATTATACACAGGAAAGGACAGTTCTAAATTCGAGTAAATAATTACTCCAATATTCTTCTTTGGCAAATTTTCATTTGGATTAAATAAATTTTACTTGAGCGCAAAAAAAGTGCTGCATTCAAGCAATATTTACTTAATCCAAGTAAAAATTCGCCAAGCGGTATCGGAGTAATTGTTCGCTTGAATCTAGCGTCTTTTTTCTGTGTACACGATTCGCAAACTCTTTGGGCAAAATAGTTTTTTGACGAAGATTACACGATTTTTGTGACAAGCGATGTCGTATTATCTCTAGTTGAGAGATTTTCGTCAATTTCTCGACTATTATTTCACAATTGCGTATATCTCATAATTTCATATTCGTCTAAGACCAGGTTGCAACCAACATTATTTTAGTTTTAAGTGAGACTCAAACGTAAATCTATCATTATCTATCGTTATTCTTCTTTCTAAATAAATAAAGAGACATATATTCGAATTTTGCTTAAAGCCAAAATAACGTTGGTGCGACCGGGCTGCAAAAGGCGCAAATTGTTTCACGTACGCACCTGCGAGGAGGCACGACTCGCGCACGCGCGCTGATTCGCGCAATCGCACGTCGCATGATTATCGAACGATGAGAATATATCGCGTTCGATTAGGTGATGAAACCAAAGGCGGAACTTGCCTGCCCGCGAACGATCGCGGATAGATGCGATAGCTCGATGCGATAGAATGTTAGAGTCCCCACCAGGTTGCGATGGGAACAAAGTTCTCGATGCGGGCTATTGGAATCGATTAGCAAGCATTTCCATCTTTCGACCTCGACTGGATCAAAGTTTAAAGTTTACGGTGAATTGCGAACTATGACTATGAATCATTTGTCAATCGGAATTGTACATAATTACCGGTGATATCATAAGACGAGAAACAAACAGAAAAAGGAAGAAAAATAGAGAAAAACAAAGATTAATTCGCTCGCGATAATCTGCGAGAACGTAACTTTGATCGAGCCGTTGTGTAGTTTTTTTTTGTTCATGAGTTTATTATTTACTGAAAAATACTAACATTTTCCTATAACTTTATTTAGCTGTCTAATAAATATTAATTTTTAGCGCAAAATTAAGAAAAATATATACAAAAAATATTACAAACAGAGATGCACCATTTACTTTCTATTTCTCTTATTAATGCTTTATAGTCTTATAGTATATATATCAATTAAACTAACAAAAGTACACGCATAATAAAAGCAGTATATAAATATTTAAATATGTGTCTATGTATATATATCGCAGGCGTTACCATAAATCACACATTTCATACGGTTATATTTTCAAAACAAAGCGGTTAATAATTCTGAAGTTTTTCCATAATGTCTCTATAACCAGTTCTAGGTATCGCAATAGTTTTCCATTAAAATCCTAAATGTGGTTCAGAAGAAAATCAAAGCGAAAATTACAAATTCACCTCAAGGAACACGTATGAAAAGTGTCATCTTTATTTGGGGATAGCTCAGCATCCGAATGGCCAAGCATTCTCGAACTTTACAGACGCGCAGATAGTAATATTTCCATCCAATATGGGACTAAAATTTCTCAAAGATTCTTAAGAAAACGATCCTTACGGACCAACTGCCTTAATTAATCGATCACACCGTCATAGCGCGGCCTTCAGCGAGGAAAGAGCGAAGTTCAACGGAAAGTAAATGAGTGAAAAGTCGCGCAAGCACGTCGATTCTCGAGTCAGCGGCGCGCTCGATTTACCTGTCGTCATCGCGCAGCTGATGCTGGCGGCAGGTATCAAGTTCAAGGTCCCGGATAGCGTAACGTAGCCCGCTCGAGCAGGTACGCAGGGGATCCATGAGACGGCAACCGAACGGCCGCAGGAATTGTCTCGAGGACATCGTGCTCGCGCGGGCGATTCTCAAACCGCGAACACTTCGCGACACGAACTATTTCTTCGCCGCGATCTCCCGCCGGACGTGGCCGGTCGGGTCGCGCTCGACGACGCGAATGCCGCATCATCTCGCGATGTGTCGCGCCCGTATGTACATATGTAGAACAATAGTTAAGTACCAATTCGCTACTACTATCGACCTTCCCCTCCGAGTCTAACCCCGTGGAAGGTGAACGACAGATCGATATGTGAATGCGCTGTCCACGCTGGAGAGCGCGTGGCCATTGTGTGCACGCTGTTTATCGTTACGCCGAGTTATCGCAAAGACGCGTGATAATTAATTGTTGCATAAAGAATACCAGGAGGGAGCATGTTGCGATGTATATCGCGGACGAAATCGAAATCGGTTTGGTTCAGCGACGTCATTAGTAGACGGTTCCGGAAGCAGATGTCCGGTATATTTTCAACATCATTGTGAAGTGCACAGCAAAGGAATATTGTTTTTGAGAGAATAAAGAGAAAAAATATGTTTATATTTCTGTTAATAATTATGACGGCGGGAAGCAGAGTTAGACACTTTTAATCAGATAAATGAATATTGAAATTTGAGTTTGGTAAGTGGCATATTTTCAACTGCGAATTTTAGATTTTGGACTTGTATTGTGTTGATATTCAGTCAGTCAATTAACATATCCAAGTGTGTAATTTTTATATACTTATATCTATAAAATTATGGTAATAACAAGCGTATTAAGCATATTAAATGCGTAAAAAGCGATTATATGTAAAATTATACATTTCGATTTGCAATGTATTATCAGCCTGATTTAATGAGTTAACTGGTTTCCTGGTGCCGACCAGTCTAGACGGAAAAAAATGCTAGAATCAAGTGAACATAATTACTTGTTTTTTAGCCTCTCAAATCAAATCATATTTCTATCAATTTAAATATATTTTAATAGCTTGTAGTAAATATTAGAAAACAATAGTAATGCTTTAATTTGTAAATAAATTGTCTAATGTAAGTGTAAAATAGTCCTCATGATAATAAGAGATTATTTATTAGAATTACGTAACACTTCTTTTCCACTGAAGAAACCTACAGTGGTTTTAAATGTAATTTTTCTGTCCACTAGATATTTCCTCAAAATGAATTCTGCTGTTCTCAATATTATGAATTTAATACTTGTCGCAACTTATCTCAACATGTACAAGTAAACGTCTATTTATACGTCGGAAATATTGCACATAGCCCATTATATTTCTACTTGTATTAAATATCTGCCAAGGCAAATTGGACTGATCGTTTTACTCGGATCAAGTAAACATTACTTGAACGGTAGCACTTTTTTCAGTGTGCAAAGACAAGAAATGAAAGTTGGTGATAATCCTGACAAATGTAAGTGATTGAAAAAAAATTTTCGTAATCTAGATCTAAGAGATGTTACTTCATCGTCAAAGTCGTATTATTTTCAGGGTTAAGACACCGAGCCCGCGTCCCGAGACCTCGTCGCGCTTTCTACACGCTCGAAAAGAACGGGGTGAGCACATGATCGCGCTTCGGGCAGAAAGAGAGAGAGAACGTACTTGCGGAGTGTGCGAAATAGAAAGCGCCGCGGAAAAGGTACGTTCGAAAGTACGCTTGAATTACGGCCGATGAGATTAGCCTCGAGAGTGGCGTAAGAGCGCGTTATGCGCTGAAAGGCTGAATCGCGCGGTTTCCTCCGGCGGTTTAATATCCCTCAGCACTCTCCTCCGGAGAGGAGTTCTTTGCGAAGTCGCGGAAACGCTCGAGTTATCAGATGGAGCGCTTTGCCACAGCGATGCGGTCAAAGTCGCGCTCTAAGCTTCGCGCGCAAAGCGACGACCTGCGTCAGTTTGCGGACCGTTTCATGCCGGATTTTCCTCTTCGCGACGACACGGCGAGTCTGCGTTTCTATTATGCGCATATAGGATCGCGTACGCTCGGAAATCTTATCTTGCGATCGGGAAAGATCGTTCTTTCTCCGGAGATGAGAAAGAAGAGGAAAAAAGGGGGGAAAATGCAGGCAAACGCACAAACGTTCAAAAGAAGTCTCAAGGATGTCTGAAAAATGCGCTCCGCTTTCTTGACGATCTCTCACTTCACTTTTTAGACGCCTTTTAAGCATCTTCGAGCCGGCTTTTAGAAGTTTGCACCGGGTTTGCGCCGTAGATTCTAATATCACATCTGCGTGGATACTTTTACGTTTTGCCTGCGTGATGTTTAAGCGGACTTTTCTCATGTTGACGATGTAAACCGTGTAAAAGATTATAAATTACGGGGCACAGTGCTGCGTAAGAGAAAAGATAAATTATAAGTTCAGGTTTACTTATGAGCTTTTAACAGAGATAGAAAATATACAAAATATAAAAATATAAGAATAAGACAAAAAGGCTTTTGAACGAACGAAGCACGGATGATGTTTGGATATTAATATTACCTTATTAATATTAATATAATTGTGGGAAGATAAAGCGTCCAGCGTGTTTAACGCGCGTGTCGGATCAGTCTTCGCTCAAGCGCACGCAGCGTATGAATTTTTCCACGCTTCTACCGATCCTGAATCCCGAATGTACATATCCAAAATATTGGGATTCAGGATCGGTCGAAGCGTGGAAAAATTGATACGTCGCGTGCGCTTGAGCGAAGAGTCAATCCGACACGTCCGTTAAAGACGCTGGACACTTTATCCCCCTACAATTATCTCGATATCAACAAGGTGATATCAATATCTAATAATCCAAACCATCCCCGTGCTTCGCTCCTTAAAAGCCCGCATCATTTCCACACTTGATTGAATACCAGAGGAGCTTCCTCACTATCCTTTGTAAAAATAACGACTTCGTAAACGTAAGAAAAAGACAGAGCATTCCATGACGATTCATAGATTACCTATATTGTCTCGTAGATGACACACCATGCAAATTACATTGTCCACGCGTGGACGTGAGCTATTGTACTTATTACGCGAAAACGATCCCGGTTCACGCGTTGTCCGGAAGAGGACGGCGCACGGACCGCCGTAAGACACTTACATCCTGTCTCCCATCGGCGACCAAGGCCCGTGGCAGCTTCTGGACTGTCCGCCTCTGAACTGTCCGTTTCCCATCGCGCCGTAGCAGAGACTAATTGACAGTTAATTGAGAATTCGCGCGAAAAACGTTAACCCCGACGTCGCTCGTAGATATCGGCGAGCGAGGCTCATAACTTGCTCGCGCGGCCTCCTCGCTCGCAGTGAGAGATAAGATTGCCGAAGGCGGGAGGACGTGTGACTGCTGTACTCGCCGAAGTGCACTTCCGTCGTCGGATTCGCGGGACGATAAAGGACTTTTCCGGAGAAACCGCGCGCTCCGATCGCGAGCGAACCGCGAGCGTGACTAGCGAAACCTCCGCGTCGTCCGGCTGCCGAGGAGGAGGTGCTCGCTCGCTCATCGTAGCTCATTTGTAGCTTCCGTTCCGATGAATGGAATATAGCGAATAACATTGTTCAATGATGAATCCCGAGCACTCGACACGTGACGTTCGTAAGAGCGAGACAGCACGCGCGGTGTTATCCGACCGTTGGGGAGGTACATCATATATCTCTCTTTTTCTCTTTCTGTCTCTCTCTCTCTCTCTCTGTCTCGTCGGCGAGAGATCACGGATGCAGATGAGAAAGGAGACGGAGGAAGGAATTGTTTCGCCTGCGGTGTTACTTAAGCATGTGTTGAGCGCCGGTCGTAATTGACGGATAATTGCGCGCTTTGTTATCGCCCCGCTCGCGCAAACCTGTCTCTCTCGTTTCTCGCGCCACTTTATGCAACGCGCGTACATTGCATTTGCATTCCGTTGCGAGGCCGCCGCAAGAAGCACGTAAAAAACGGCCTCAGAGACGCGGTCGTGCGCGGGGATTTAATTAATGTCCGAATTGCGCAGAAATATGCGAATATAACGTACATGACGTATATACTTTTTAGCGAAACTACTCTTACTTTAGAAAAAAATATTAGTCGCGACAAATTGGCCGGTGATATATTGTTGCTCCGTAATTTTATTACGAGTAATGAAACGCACGAGTAATGAAACTACCGAGCGATAATAATTTATCATCGGTCACATCGGTATCAATTTGTCACAGCCAATAATAAACCTTTCCGTCGAGGTTATGTAGATAGAGAATATTAGTCTTGAATTTTGATATTAATTTCTTCCGTGCTTTATCCCGCATTACTTCACGGTCGCTCGTGATATATCGCAACGGGGCGATCTTCGAAATAATCGCTCCTCAAGCAACAACGAGAATTACACTTATGCGAGCATTAAAATTCCTTGAGTCACGCGTGGACGTAGGAAAAGATGACCTCACCGGGGAAAAAAGAGCGGCGCTCGTGAAAATTCATCGCGTTGTTTCATCGCGTTGTCGAGGTGTGCCTTACCTGAGGATACGATTCCTCACACGGATCTTCCACGACGCCAACAGACTCTTCCTGACAGACATTCATAGGCATCGAATGTTTTTCACGCTCCGTCGTTTCCGTGATCGATAATCGCTCCGCTCGAGAGAAAAGTTGAGTTTTGCAGATTATTCGTTCGCAGTGAAAATTCGCAGATTTACATCGGGAGACGCGTGTTTCGACGTTCGGAGAAAAGGCGAGACTTTTTAAGCGCAAGAATCGTCGAGATCTGGGAGGAAATTGTATTTGAAAGCGAAAAGGAAAGCGTCTAAAGCGTCACGGTCGAACTGAGCGCTTCGCTGAGACGCGCCGACGCGCCTGCGCGAGAAATCAGGCCTGAAGCACGTTTCACACATGCCTCGTTCTTCACTGTGTAAGACGTCGCGTGCGCGATCGATCAATTCTCGCGTATCGTGTTTACAAGACTCCAAACGGACACTCGTACCTTCCCAGCAATTGTCGGAGCAGTCGCCGGCGAAACAATGACGGACATCAGCATGGTATGCGAATTTCTCATTGCCATCCTCTCGTCCGAAATTTCATGATGAAAATGCTTATAACCTAACCAGTCACAAATTGTTATTCCAGCATCAGCAGTACCCCGGCCTCGACGTACTGTCGAGACCCGCCGAAGAATTCGTCAACGACGTGAGTAGAACCCAGATAATGATCATATTATTTCGTCGTTTGGAAGACTGTTATCGCTTTCAAATTGATATGCGTGAAGAAACATGCACTCACCTTTCTTGTTTTATTTATTTCACTCACCCTTCAGCCAAGCGTCGAGAGAATGTGGGCCATGAAAGCTATGGAGCACGCGGAGGTTTACTTCAACGTGAGTCTCGCAGTGTCACGTGAAACAAACGGAACAGGCGTAAACAATAACAATGTGACAGGAGAGTGGATTGTTTTAGATTTTATGTTCGGTCGATCCAAAACTCTTGAGGCTTACACCGCACGACGACCTGATCTACAAAACGTTCCGGGAGACGTTTCCTGATATGAAGGTGGACAAAATAAACGAGGAGGAATTGAAGTCTCACGAACAGAAGGAGAAATGGAGACCCTTCTGTCAGCAATTCAAGGACACCGTGGAGGACTACAGTTTCGGTACACTGATGAGAGCGGACTGCACCGGGGAGTACTCGGAGGAGAACAGCATCCTCACGACCAGGATACAGTTTTACGCCGTTGAGCTTGCGAGGAACAAAGAGGGTCTCAATGACATCGTGCGGAAAACATACAAACCGAAGGAGAATGTTAAGAAGTGATCGGACAGCTTGCTGAGTCACAACTAGTTACGTTAGTACCGTCGAAGATACATTCGAACACTCCCCGTTTCTCGGTATATAACTCTATTTTACAGACAAAGTGTATATATATACACATATATATATATACACACATGCACACACAATTCGTAACAATTTTGTAAGATATTGTAGGTAATAACAGAGAGAGAGAGAGAGAGAGAGAGAGTTGGCGATGGAGTTGTGGCAAACGAATGCGGCGCGCTGCTGTTGTTGGATTAATTTTATTAACAATAAAAAACAAAGGTGAAGCGAACGGTCTTCTTTCGAGAGTCGTCCCCTTAAGGCAGCCAGATCGTCGTGTCTCTCTCGATGTGCGGAAAGAATCACTTGCTCTTCGCCGGTATCTGCAAGCTGACCAACGGATTCGAGGCGCGAGCTCGATATCTCGATTTCACGGCGGTTGCCCCGGACGCCGCGGCGTCCCTGTCGAACTTCCTCTTTCTCCTGCCGATTCCCATGAGCCTCTTCAAAGTGGGCGGCACTATGTATTCGGGCACGTCTTTTAGATGCGGCTGCAGCTTGACCGTATGCAGCGCTTTGTCCTGGCGCAACGACTGCAGGTCGCGCGGGTTATCCTCGAAGTAGCTCTTCAGCTTCTGGCAGTTCATGACCTCCTGCTTGATCTCCTTCAACCGTGCCTCTCGAACGGCTATCCTCGTCACCGCTTTCCAAGCGTCCTTCGCACGGTAACTGAAATCACAACGTAATCAGTTTGTATATCTCGCGATTTGCGATCGGCAATGTCGAGAAAAAGGCCAAGTACCGAAAGCCCTCCACTTCCTCCAGTTTGAATTGATAGGTCTTGAATAGACTGTCGCGATTGTAGGTGTGCTTCAATTGTTCCTCGACGCTCTCCATCAGAGATCTCTCCCTGACCGCGACGAAGCTGAGGGCGGTTCCCTGATTCTTCCCGCGGGCCGTGCGTCCTGCTCTGTGTATGTACGAGTCCACGTCCAACGGGAAGTCGAAGTTGACGACGTTAGACACGAATTGAAAGTCGATGCCGCGCGCTACGCCGGATTCCTTGTCCTTCCTTCGCTTGCCCTTCTTCCTGTTTGTCACGTGCGGCTGTAATACGAATCAAAACGATGACACGTGCGGCTCCCTGTAAGTCCGCGCAATTTATTGCCTCACCTCTTCCAATGCCTTCTCGTCCGACGCTATTATGATGTCGTAAGTGCCGCTGTTGAACTGCGTCACTGCTCTGCATCTCGAGGTGGCCGGCAACTCGGAATTCAAGACGCAAGTGGGGATACCGAACTGCTCCAGGAACAACTTCAGCTTGTAGCATCTGTCTACCGTGTTTACAAATATTATGGATTTTCCTCTGCAAATAATTAGAAGGATTAACGAAGGATTGATCGTTAAGTGTGAACTTGCAATTTTCTAACACATTTTCAGAGACTGCAGGATTCTCGAGACACGATTATAGTGCTTGTTATTTTTATTCACGAGAATCATGCGGCTTTCCTCGTGGCGCTTTCGTCTAAGTACAATACCTGATTAAATTCAATTTCAACAGGGCGTACAAAATAGCCGCTTTGTCATTCTCCTCCGCAGCCAGAGTGTAATGTGCCAGTTGAGTGGGTGGTGCTAAAGGTGGCTCTTCCAGCTTTAAAATCGCGGGGTTATGTAGAACAAGTTTTTTCAGAGTTTGAACATCCTCAGACAACGTGGCAGACGCTAAAGCCGCTTGATAAGCCGCTGGCAAATAGGCCAGCACTGCTTTCATGTCGTCCTCATAACCGAACGAGAATATCTGAAACAATCAACACCGGTTGAACACTGTTGTTCTCTCTTGTGGATATCACGCAATGGAGAAATTCAGTTAGCGATATTCCGTAAGACAAATACACACCAGATCGGCTTCGTCAATAATTAATGTTTCCAGGCTGCGTTTTAAGACCAAGTTTCTTGCTTTCAAATGTTGCAACAAACGACCTGGTGTAGCCACAACAATGTCTGGCATTTCACTCAGTAATGGTTTCTGCGCGTTCAAGTCTGTCTGAGGACTGACATCAACCACTCTGACCTCCCTGCTGCACTTGGTAGTCAGGTTAACAATCACTTCCTGAATCTGCTTGCATAGCTCTTTGCTAGGTGCGACGATCACCCCCTTAATCTCCTGTTTCTCCTGAGTGCGTTTGTTTATTAATATTTTCTGAATGAGCGGCACAGCAAACGCACCCGTTTTGCCGGATCCCGTGCGAGCTCTGATCAGGACATCCTTCCCTTCCAGCAACAATGGTATCGCTTTCTCCTGTATTAATGTGGGCTCTAACCAGCCTAGCTTTGCGATCGCCTGTATAATTAATTCCTCGATATATTATTATTGCAACACGTATTGTTCTACAGAAATATCTCAGGTGCAGAAACAAAAGGATAACAATTGAAACAAATAAATAAGTGAATTATATCTGTTCCAGACGATTCTCTGCTGAGATCTACTCTTCCTCAGCATTATTTTATACTCGAGACGTAAAAACAAAGGAACGCGCATTTTATTTAATTCTCTAAAATTAAAATTATACGATAATTAACAAATTAAATATATAACTTGAGATATTATATATCCTGTTGGGATATTATGCAGTATATAGTACTTGCTAAAGTAAACTTAACCTAACATCACTAAAGTTTGATGATGTTTACCTTTAATATCCTGTCGTCTAGTTCCAGCTCATGGAAATCTTTCAGTTTTTCCTCACTTTCTTTGTCCGATTCCATTTTATTTGCAGATATGTTTATTAAAAACCTCGCACGTGTTTAAATCCCAACGACTCCGATTATCGCACGCACCGAACGAGGAAAAGTCTGTGGACTACTACTGGAATAAAAAACTTTTTTAAATAGCCTGGACTGCTGTTGAGTCGTACTACTTCGGCGATTCTCTTTTAAGAATGGTGGCGGCTCGTAGCGGAGACTTTGGAACTAATTTTTCACGATTTTTTTATCCAAGATTCGAACCATGTAACTCGAGATTCAAACCTTTCTCTCGAGTGATTTCTATTCAATACCGCTAGATGGCACTAGGTTATACATAAACCCGTAATAATAACGGGTCTGATAATTATTCTTAGATCCGTTAATTTGTTAAATGGTGATGTGGCTACTAATTAGTTCTAAAATCTCCGCTACGAGTCGCTACCGTCCTTATTGAAAGATCGAAGTCGTAGTATGACTCCAAGATGAGTCAAATTTATTTTTATTTTCCATGTAGTATATAATTCATAGTAAGTCAGACTTATTTCTATTTTGAAGTTTTACGATTCAACGGCAAGTTAGAAGACTTTTTTATTTTTCACTTTTAAGATTAAGCAGCAGGTCGAAAGACAATTTTACATCAAATAGAAAATCTTAGCAACACAGAAGGGCTTTTAAATTATGTACAAATTAAATAATACAATATTAAAGAATTAATATTTCCAATCATGAAAAATAAATAAAAGTTTATAGGCTATAACTATGGTAAAAATTATGATAGTGAGGTCGTTCGAAACTTCATAGCTTACTCGACTTAAAACTTCATAGCTTAAAACTTGGAATTTCCGGGAATATTAAGAATATAACGCTGCTGTCCACTTTCGTCAAAATATATTCAATTAAAAGAAAAATAGTATTCGTTCAATATCCAACTTCATATTTTCTTACACAACAAAAATATCCAAAATACATTATACGGATATTCTAAAAATATCACGACATCTGTAGGATATCCCTATGATGTGTTTTTTGGACATTTTTGCTGCGTGAATACGAAGCTGAAAGCCGAACGAACGCCACTTCTCGTTTAATTCTAATATATTTTTACGGTTTTCTGGGTCAGTTGAATTTTTTAATTAAATTGTAACATTGAAATTTCCTTTCTATCAAAAATGAGATAAATACATTTTAAAAGGAAAATTTTCAATTTTCTATTAATTTGCTGATGAATATCGCTCACCAAAAAACATAGTTTTTCGTTTACCTTCCGTAAATAATGAAAGCTGAAAGGACTTCTGCTTCACTGCTCAATAATTCGACGAATAAAAATAACACCATAATCTGTAATTATATAAATTAAAGAAAAAATATTTCAAACAATCAACTATGATTCATATGTGATTTTTCGTTCATGCGGTATAATTTGGAAATAACAGATTTCATAAAAGATTTTGGCATTCAATAGATATTGAGTTGCATCTTCGTGTAACTACGTAAAAAATATGTAAATTTCGTATTTGTTCATTATATACATCTCGAAAGTAGTCTTTAAGCTATGATGTATCTCTGGAGCCGCCTCATTAGTATTGTTTGTGGAAGTTATAATCCGCGCATGTTGAATTCCACCTACTTGTCGTGACCTGTATATACATATATATATATATATATTTATTTATTACATCTGTATCCTTTCACTAATACTGAAGATCGTCATTTTTTACTGTTAAGTCACACGTCAACTGTATTCACGGACATAAAATTGCAATTCCACGGCAGATCTATAAACGACATTTGACTCTTCATGGAGGTTTTGGTGTGAAAGTAAATGCACGAGATCGGTCGTTTCTAGAATATATTGCTATATACACACTTTAATAACCAAAAACAAACATTACAGTAATAATATTGTTATTAATATAATATTATATAATAATAGAATCGTTTATCAATCGTAGTGAAAACACTAAAAACCTTGCTTCCATTCTTAGTGGAAAGAACAATGCGTTCGGTTTTTCGCCTCTTTGTTTTCTTCTCTTCACCTTTTTTTTTCTCTTTTTTATTATTAATAATATTAATTCATAATGGCGCCCGCGCGCGCGATCGACCGTGCTCGCCGTTCAATCCTCGAGGGAGCGGGATCGTCTCTCAGAGGGGAGGATCCCGCCTCTTCCTGCCCGGCTCGCGCGGCCGAAATCGACACGCGATTTCGGGAGCGCGGTCGATCCGCGAGCCGATCGGTCTCTCGTTACCTTAGAATAATAAATATGACAGTGCAATATCTAAAAAATCTGTCTTTTTTTTTTATGCAACTTACACATTCAAATACAAGTGTACATTCGAGAAATGTACAGTGGTTTATTGCCCTTACATCTTCAACGTCAAGGGGAACCGCGAGCGCCGAACAGTCGTACGACGAGCCACTCCTGAACAAAAGCGAGGGCGAGCGCGTAATCCACCTCCTCCTCCTCCTCGTAATTGCCCGCAAGTGATTGCGGGCGAGGAGTGCGCGTCGTAGCTCGCACAATGCCGGTCTGAATTGTCTGAACGACCAGTCGCAATTTAAATAGCCCGAGACAGATGGCAATAATAATTACAGATACGTGATACAGAGAGATACACGGAGAAGGAGGGAAAGTTTGATTAAGCGAAATTTTTTGGGCATTACGTGTGTGTATATGTGTGTGTGTGTGTGTCTATCTGTCTATATGTGTGTGAGTGGCGACTAATCTTAAGCATCTCGACGGTTGCAAAGGTAGTCGATGATGTACACGTAGTTTTCATCTTAACACACTCTCTCTCTCTCTCTCTCTCTCATTCTCTCTCTTTCTCTCTCTCTTTTTCTCTCTTTCCGACGTAAAACGTGCGTACAACGCCAAAGTCTAAAAATCGTCTCGCCTGTAAAGCCACTAAAGAACGTACGACAATAGTCCGGCGATCACGGCTCCTCCTCAGATCTCTTTCTATTCGAGCGGCGGTACAGCCGCGTACCTTCTCTTACTCTCGCGCTTTTTTTCTCTCATTCTCTCTCTCTTTCTCTCTTCCTCTTTCATTATCCCATCCGCACGCACACACGCACACACACACACACATATACACTTTCTCTCGCTTTCTCTCTCATGTTTGCTCTCTCGATCCGACCGCTGAAGGAGAAGATGAACGTTTGACTCAGGGATCGCGCGTGCGAGAATCAAGACCGAAGCACAGCTTTGCTGTCTCGCGATCGGAGAAGAAGAAGCCTCGCGGAGATCTCGTCGTTCATCCCTCCCAGCGGTCGGCGATTCGGATCACGCGCAACGAATAAGTTAGAAGAATGCCGTGTATGACGTGTTAATTCTCACGAACGGTGCGATGGGGTTAACGGATCAATCGTCCTCCCCGGTCTCCCTCGACTTTCTCCTCGCGATTTCGCCGATCGCGCCGTTCAGGAGTGATTGATTCTAGGGTGTTCGAAAAGAGGGGGGAGGGAGCGCGAAATAAGAGTAAAAAATATATATAGTCGAGAGTTGCGAGAGAGAGAGAGAGAGAGAGAGAGTCTCGTACTCGCGTGCCCGCACTCAGCGCCGCGAACTTCGCCCCCGCGATTCCCGTTTTTCCCGACAGTAACATTCGACGCATCGCACGGACGACGAATAAATAAAAAGAGAGAAAGGGGAGGAGATAAAAGTTGAATCGAAGTCGCGTGACGATCGAACTCGGCGCCGCACGCGCGCGAGAGCACGACGAACGCAAAAACGTTCCCAAAACTGCTCGACTATGGGGATACGATTGAACGATCGGTAGATTCAACGCGCGCTCCGTTTTTCTCCTAGAAATTCAGCTTTATGGTCCCTCTTTTAGAGTCTTGTTAGAGCTTTCTCGTAAAAAAAAAATAATAATAAAAGCGCTACACTCTCACAAAGGTTCACGACTTACGCGATCCACGCGCTCCTCCTTCAAACACCTTAGATCACTTGGTGTGTGTGTGTGTGTGTGTGTGAATTGCATCATCATCTCGCGTCTTGAGCAAATAAATAATACAAGAAAGGAAACAGAAGAAAGGAAGAGGAGAGGAGAAGGAGGAAAAGCGATACGAGAGAACGCGGCATCGTCGTGTTCGCTGAAGTGTAAATAAACAGGATCAAGGTGCAGCTCGTGTGTTATGACGGCGCGGCACCTGACGAGTGAAAATCACGATTACAATTAGCGATTACGCGGAACATCGCGAAGCAACAATAACGACGATGTCGATCAGGAACGGAGGAAATAGCGGAACTGACTATATCACGACGTTCCTTCGCGCAATCGCGACAATGACAATATGTGTGTGTGTGTGTGTGTGTGTGTATGTATGCGCGTTCGCACGCCCAACACATCTCGCAGGCAATTCTGCCGCGCGAGGCGCCGCGTTATCATATTCTCTTCTTTTCCCTCCTCAGATTCCTCGGATTCACACCGCCCTCCGCGCGGGAGGGCTTTGTTGTCACTGAGAGAAAATTGTCAGCTCGACCGCGCGATCGTGAAGAGGCGCGTGTCGCGCAAAGGCGAATTGCAATGTCCTGTCCACTTAATTTTTTCCTTTTCTTCCGCTTTGCGAAATTACATCGGATTCGCGTCGAACACGCGCGCGACGACAACGAGATTTCCGACGAGTGAGCGTTATACATTAAAAGTGGATCGATATACTTTCGTTTTGCAGCAATCGTCTTTATTTCCTTTCACTTTTCTTACAAAAAAAAGAAAAAAATCCGCTACTTGGCACAGCTAATAGTTTTGCGTCGTATATTGAGATACGTATTATGAGAACAATCGACGTCGAAATTGTCGCACTTCTATTTCAGCAGAATGCTCTCTGTCTCTCTTTCTCTCTCTCTCTCGCTCTTTCTCTCTCCTTCTCTCACACCACGTCCGAACCGATCGCGTGAAACTGATACATCGTTACGTCTTAATTAATTAAGGCAACTGCAGCTTAATGAAAACTACTTTCCTCTCAGTGCGTGTAACCGAGCGCCGAAAGAGACAACGGTGTGTGTAACAGCGTAAGTAAATGATGAGCCACAAGTGTTTTCCTCAGTGTACGTGTGGGTGTGTGTGTGTGTAAATGATCCCTATTTTACAATAATATGAGTGCGCGTGTGTATTGTGTCAGTGAAGAAAAAGACTGAAAACTTAGAAAAGTAAAGTAAAAAAATACCCACGCAGTCAACGGTCTCCCTTACGAAAGGATTCGGTTTTTCTCAAGAAGTCATTTTCGCGTTAGCTTCCAAGCGCATGACGCGCGCAATTAATCGATCGATCGACCGACCGACCGGTCAATCGATCGGTCAATTCAGCAACGGAGAATGCATATTTATACGTTTTACAGATTACGCGATACGGAGTAGCAACATTAAGAATAATAATAATAATAAGAACCGTTACAGAGTTACACAGCTCGTAGCCGAGTACAAGTATTCCATCGTTAATATCATGTACGCGTGTGTGTATGTTTTCTTTTTTGTACGTGCGGTGTAACTGTGACGATACAAATAAAATATACCTTCTAAAGCTAGGATGCACTGGGAGGAGAGAATTTATCCGGGGGTTGGACGAGGGTTTTCTCGAAGGTCAATAATAAAAGGGGTGAGGAGCTCGGGGGAGCCGAGAACGTCGTTCTTCCGCAACGTTCTTCGGGCACCGGTCGCTTTTCGGGGTCGGACGAGCCCACCCGATCCACGATCAGTACCCGAAGATTCCCTTCCTTACGCCGAGCACGAGACACGTTCGATCGAACTTCTCGGCTCGAAACGCGCGGAGTCGGAAATTCGGGGAGCCTCTGGGGGGAGGGATTCCCACGATGCTGACTAAATTCTGATATGTAAGACTGACGTTGGGCGACGATCGCCTGTGTGTGTTTTCTCACCGAGTCCGTTCGTCTGCGGGCGAACTCAAGTGTGCGGCTGCCGTCGAATCGCGAGAAATCGCGGCTCGACGCGGCCAGACTTAACGTTCAGCGCGCTCGAACTGTTTAGGCTGATTCGGCGGCAATTCGCTACGAGCTGGCGTTTCTCGTCGTTCCCGTGGCACACCGGTGCGTAACGCGCCGACGTCAATACTCTCGCAAACGCGTTTAAACGCAGTATGACGCTTCGAAAACAAACGAGTCAAAGATATGTAACGTCGACTGCGAGATATAAATTTACTCTTCTCGTGCACTACCTTCCCATTTATCTCTCTCTCTCTCTCTCTCACATGTATACACACACACAGAGACACATACACACACTCTCGCTTTCTCATCCACGCGATCCCTATGCTAAAAGCACTTCCTTAACGCGCCAGCCGAGACAAATCACCTGTCAACGCTCGCGAGCCTGTATACGTAGTGACGACGTAGAATACAGCTATATAAAGTATCTCTTATACACTTACGGTAATTGTATATTGTATGCAAGTATGTATGTATATATATACATATCCCTATATGTATATATACGTATGTACGTACCGCCGGCCTACAGCAGGTGTTTTATTTCGTCTCTCACTCTCGCGCTCCGATGCGTCCAAGCATCACGCGAACGTATCTTTTCTCTCTCTCTCTCTTTCTTTTTTCTCATTCACACACTCACTCTCTCGCTTTCTAACTCTCTCTTTCTCTCTCACTCTCTCTAGTTCTCTTTCTCTCCCTCTTTCCCTATCTCACCTTGTATCCATCATGTGTTATGCATGGGAGCATGCTGCTTGTCCAATATGTGTCTCGTTCAAAGATGTGTGCCTTCGTGTGTGTGTGTGTGTGTGTGTGTATGTTTAGATGTGTATGTGTTTACTTTTTACATAAAATATTGCGTACCAGACGATTTTACAAAACTTTACCCTGGAATAATGTACTTTTACGCTGTGCGAGGCGACCGATCGCGAAAGAACGTCACGGATTACACTTTTCACTCGGCGTCTTCCGCTGTACCACGTGGCGCAAGCACGACACGTGGGTATGACCCGGCCGACGCACGTTTCCCGTCCGTGAATCCTCGCGATCGGCACTTTCGACGTTCCTCCGTGATTCACTTGGTGACATCGCCCAAATAGCTCTTCGCGACCTTCTGACGACCGACCCACATCTGTATCGCGATCGGGCGCGCCTCTTGCTTAAACCTTTCAGCACCCACCCACTGACAACGATTACGCAGTAATCTCTTCCCCCCCCCCCTCTCTGTTGGATCGCTCACTGTATATCACCAGACGAATATTTCGAAGCCCCTGAACGCGAGAGAGCGCGAAGGCTACGGAGATACATAAAACGGGGATAAACGCGGTGAAATTAGCGTGACGTTAATTAGTGCGAGATTAATTAACGTAAGATCCAAGTGAACCTGCTTCGAGTCGGTCGAAGTGAAGACGAAAGAAGGCTCTGGAAGACACACGGTACACGGCCTTCTCTCGCTCCGGTGCTGAAAGGATCAAGGGCTTCGCCTGACTCGACTGTGAGATCACATCTCCGCGCTCCGTACACGTGTGCTCCGAATGCGCGTGCGTTTTCGGGGCGACACGTTACAAAAATGAGCGACGATACACATTGAAAGACGCAGTCGCAAGTCGTACTCGCGACACTTTTTATACACCTCAGATTACTTATTCTTTTCGTAAAAAATTTTATTCCTCTCTCTCTCTCTCTCTCTCTCGTTCTTTCTCGTTCTCTCCCTCTCGTTCGCTCGTTGTCTTTCGCTCGCTCGCTCACTCTTTCTCTCTCTCTCTTTTATTTCTGTTACATCGCATTACTACACCTCGCTTTGTTAATCCCTTTCTCTCTCTCTTACGATTTTTTTTTCACGTTAAAAATTTAAAATACTCGTATTACACGTAAGTATTTATGACCCTGTTTTCGTAAAGGCTTTTTAACATAAGTCGATCCTGGCCGAGGAAGATAAAGGAAACGGGGATCCAAGATAGAGAGGGTTGGAGGGGACAAAGAGGGATCGAGAAGACGCGACTGCATTGGGAGGAGAACAAAGAGCTCGTCCGTCCGCGAACATATCACGCCCTTCTCGTTACGTATTTCACGTTTTTCCTAGCGTCTTTTCTTTGTGACGTCTTCATTTTTTTATTTTTCCCTTTTGACGCTTCGAGGGAGAATGAACGGAAGGATATATATAACCTTAGCGACGTTGGAGAGGGTACGTGGAGACTTCGACGATGGATCGGGTCGCAAAAATCCGCAATGGCGCGTGTCGCCGCGTTCTCCCAATCGAGGAGACGTTTCTCCCTTCGCGCGGTCGAACGATAAAAAAGTCGCTATCGTCTCGAAAAATTAGAGAGCGCGCGTTTTTCGCTCCCCCTCTAAATACACTTTTTAGCGCGCCAGTCGTCGGATAACGAGTAGCTCGAGGAAGATCGTTCGCTTTTCTTTTTTTTTCTTCCCCCTGTACAAAGTCGAGTCGGGCAACGCGTTTTATTTTCTACGAAAATACAATACTACTTCCACGACGAACACTTTTCTCTCGTCAAAGAAGAGGATATCTAAAATTTATTGTTCTCCATCGATAATTGATATGACTTACGTTTCTCGTTAAAGGGAACACCTTCACGACGAGTTACGAGATAAGATTACTCCGGTATTCTAACTCTCTAACTCTCTCACTCACTCACTCACTCTCTCTCTCTCTCTCTCTGTTTTTGGCTTCGAGATCAGATCCGTCTCGCTAACAATCCATCGTAGATCGAACGACAGACTGTGTCACGAGCTCGATACGTTAGTCTATTAATTGTCGAAGAGAAGAAAGAGTAGGAGAAGAAGAAGGAGGAGGAAGGAGAAGGAGTAGAGGAGAAGAAGAAGAAGAAGAAGAAGAAATAGTAGCAGTAGTTAGAAGAAGAAGATGAAGAAGAAAAAGACGACGGGAAGTAATTACGCGCTAACGAGAGCGAAGAATCTCCGGCTTCGTTTCGATCTCCGTGAGACAACGCAACGTCACTCCCTTCGAGTATATATCGGAAAAAGCGCAAACAACAACCGAAGAAAGAAGCTCCCTATATATTCATTACAATTCGTAATATCATATTTCACTAATTCAATTTCGATCTCTCTCTCGCCGCGCGCGCGCATCCGGCAAGAGAAAATACGCGTTCGTCCTCTTTTCCTTTTTTCACTCGTCACTTCTCTTTCTCCCCTTGTGCTTGTTGTCACCCGAGCTCCGCCGCGAAAAGGATGATCAGTTCGCTTGCTCGTTCCCTTCCTGACGTTTCGACTCGACGAGATCGCTTCGCGCCGTTCTCGCGCCGAGAGATTCAGGTTCGCGGCATCCTGAGACGCGCGACACGCGTTGCTTCTCGATCCAACGGCGGCTATATGTCGACACGTCAAGAACGTAGACACGTCTAGAACGTTTAAGACTCGCGACTGCGAACCGGAAGAATACACTGTGCGTGGATACGGGTTACTCTAGAGACAACTCCCCCCTCCCCCCTCTCTCTCTCTCTCTCCCCCTCTCTCCATCTCTCATTTTAGCGACAGTAAATCCCACTTTCTCACGCTCCCTATAGGAAATGCAGTTACACTGCGATCTCTCGTACATATATATATATACACACATATACATATAAGATATCGACACGATAAGAAAGAAGATTACGTTATAAAAATATCAGCGACGTTAACACCTCGATGATTGTCTGAAACGTATTCAGTTGTTTTCGTCGACCGTTCTCTAAGTTTGAAACACACCCTCGCTCCCTACTACGTATATATAATGATGAAGCCCCCGGAGAAGTCGGATCAACGTCAACCCCACGCGCGAGCCGGATCGAGCCGGGCGAGGCGTCGAGAAAAGCTCGGAGAGGGCTCGGGAACGAGCGCACCTCGTCGACACTCGGTGGTACGTCAGGGCGGGGACTCGCGACCCGAAACAGGCGGCGGCGATTAATTAACGAACGACGATTTGGCACACGTGCTGAATGCCGCTGGGCGGCGACGGTTACCACGTTTTTAGAGTAACTTGGCACAGAGAATTGAGCCGCTCGGCGACGACTTGAGAGTTCTTCGCTCGATCGATTCCCTTGTGGCTCTTTTTCACCCTGCCTCTTTACGAAGACATATTTCCCTGTCTTTTGGCACACCTGAACGTACCGCGTCAAGTGCTGACCTTTCGACACGCTACGTGGCCGACAGCTTGCTGCTACTTCCTTCCCTAGCACAGTTAGCTTCACACACGTTCCTCAAACTTACGTGGTATACGATTATGAAACGACATAGTGTCGGTCTACAATAGGTATTTTAAGCCTTGAGAAACTGGCCGATCACAGTTAATTATCCTCTTCATATTCGATTGTGATCGGTTAGTTTCTCGAAGCTCGAGGCTTAGAATATCCATCGTAGACCGGCCATTTACGTACGTTTGAAGAACGCACGTGAAATTAGCACGTGCCACCTGGATTGTTACGCGCGTCCGAACCTACACGCACGATTCTCTCGGTCGACCTCGATCTATGCGGGGAGAAAGCGCGATATTTATACGCGGACGACGGGCCGCGTGGTTCAACGTCGGAGGAGCCTCGACCGGCTCCTCACTCAGAAGGATCGTCCTCGAGTGAAAATCGCGAGCCCGCGCGTTTCCGCGCACGCTGTCGAAGCCGCCGGTCAAAAGTCGGTCGCGCGACCGAGGGATTCGAGACGAACGGAATATTCCAGGCGTCGTCGCCGAGACGACGCCCGTCCGTCCGTCGATCCAGCCCCTTCAGTCGACGCGACGACACACGGCGTCAGGAGATCGCGAGCGACGGTCCGGTCGCGCTGCTGGATCTTTCTTTCTTTCATTTCTTTGCGATACGAGGAGGAAAGGGCTATTTCGCCCTTCGACCGCGCGCCCCGAAGGGGCGCGGGGCGATTCTCAATATCCTATAAAAACTAAGTTTATTTCTTAGCTGATTGCCTTGCGTAATGGTTAAGGTCGGGTTCCCGGCGAGGATCGACCGCGATCGATCGTCACACCTCGACGACCGTCGTTCCCCCCGGCTTCTCCCTCCGCCGGAGATCCGGAGGGCGCGTCTCGCGCTTCGTCCGATTCACGCGCCCGTGATTCGCGATTTCGCACTCGCCTCGAGCACGAAGATATTCGAGCGAGAAAGAGAGAGAGATAGAGAGAGAGAGAGAGAGAGAGAGAGAAGGGGGAGGAGAAACGGTTGGCGTACGGGACGCGCGATCGCCGAGCGTGATTCGCGATCGCGACGATCCTCGATAAGAGGACCCACGCAGTAAGGATAAGGCCCCTGCACTAACAGATTGTTCTACGCCACAACGCGATACGATCGCAATCAAGGTTTTTTTTTCTGCGCACGTGTCTTTCGTGTCTCGCTTCCCTCTCCTCTCCCCTCTCGGCGCTTTTCCGCGAGCCGCGTTTCTTTCGCGCGGCGGCGAGGATACGTCGACTCGATCCTCGAGCTTTGCCGTTTGCGATCGCGTTTTGCCGTCGAACACTTCCCCCTTTTTCCCTTTTATCCTTGCCAGCTATCTTCTTAACGTAATGAGGGTGAAGAGTGGGGGCTGGGAAGGGGCGTATGTCTCCGGGATCCGACACGGGAGGATCTTTCTCGCGTTGTCTTCTTTCCTGTCGCGTTTCGCTTTGTCTTTTTTACGGCGCGCGCAGTAATGATAAGTCGGTACTGGGGGGATGTTCGATTCTGAGAATCGATTTTTTTCCTCAGACGCAAAAATCGACTTTATTAAATCAATTCTCTTCCATGCGAACCTCGGCGGGGATGCTCGATCCTGAATCACTTTTTAGGCCGATATTCGTAGTCAGATCTTATATCTAAAACCGTCTTTCTTTTTTTAGTTTATCTTCAGATGCTTCATAGCCAGTGAAGTGAGCGATGAAGGACCTCAAGATAAACTTAAGACGGCCTTAAATACGAGATCCAAGATCCGATCATGAACACCGGCCTCAGAAAATCGGTTTTTTTTAGAAGAGGATCTTTAACAAATTTATGTCAAATTGATTCTCTTCTACGCGAACATCCCCAGCCGGTACCCGAACGTGGGATCTGGTTCGCTTCCCCTTTTCCTCCGTCTCGCTTCTGATTCTATTCGGATGTTCGACACGACCGGCCGCAACGCCAGTGACCGATCGATGCTCTCTTTCTCTCTCTCTCTCTCTCTCTCTCTCTCAGGTATTCCCCGGATATTCCTCTGCCCGGATCGCGCCCCTATCTACGATACAGAAAGCGGATATCATTAACTGTGGTTAGCGCTAATCGGTGCGCCGGTACAACGGAGATCTTGAGGAATATATAATCCACCGCTCGTCTCGTGGATTCTGCCTGAGCCCGCCTCGGACGATCCGTGACTTGCTATTCGGGACTCGGGATTACACTTGATGCGCGGCGCAACGCGAGGAGGAGCGCTCGAAAATTTCGCGAGCCTGCCGTCTCTCTCTCTCTCTCTCTCTTTTCCTCTGCGAACGCCCCGTCGCGCAAGAATTCGCGACGGAATCCCGCGCTGCGCACACCCGAAGTAGTTTCGTATGCGTGGACGCGCGCGCGCGCGCACTTGGAAGAGTAATTCCGCGATTCGTCCCGCGCCGTCTCTCCTCGCAAACAGAATTCCGGCGGCGCCGGTTCTATTTGCAAATTTTACGCGCTCCGCGATACACGAGGCGCATTCGAAGATTTATAGATGCGCGTGTACGCCGCGCGCGCTCGCGCGTCCACGGGTGCGCTACGATTGTGACTCCTCTCTCTCTCTCTCTCTCTCCCCCTCTCCCCGTGCGCACGCAGAAATAGAATTCTATCCCGAATTCCGCGGCAAATTATAGAACCGTCCGAGGCGCGACCGCACGACTATTACACGCGCGCGTTGTCCCCCGGCTTCCCCCGCCGTGTCCCCCGCACGGGTTTGTTACATGCGATAGACGATATCTTAACGGTCACTAGAGATCTACACACACACACACAGAATCGATCGAATCGTGCCTACACATAGGGTGCTCTCTCGTTGGTAATATACGATCGATCGATTTCCGTGATGATAATACACGCCTGGATAAATGGTTGCTCGCAGGCTCGCGCGCGGCTTACGGCCGCGGAGCCCGAAAGAGAGATTAATTACTCGTAGCCTAGTCATATGTGTCACTGGATATGCTTCTGGAATATGTCGGCGCGACAAAAGCCTCATCCTCGGATTCGCGATGCCGCGTGATGTATACTTGTGTGTTGTGTGTATGTATGTGTGTGTGTGTATGTGGGTGCATGTAGTAACGAGAAAATTATCGGCTGTAAACGGAATCGCGCGATCGATTGCGTCGTTCCGCGATGATTATCGAAACGATTTTTTCGACGTTGATTTCTCCCCCGCGAAATCCCGTCACTCAATCGGCGGGTCGAAAGCAACGAAAATCACGAGATCGCTCGTTTCTCACTACGCATCACACCGAACGTACGTGTGTTTGATCCGGTTGATGTGTGCCGAAGATGGAGATCAATGTATGATCAAGAGACACACTCCGAGTGGGAAGATCGTGATTCTTGTAATCCTACGTAAACGCGCGCACCGCGATCAACGTCCTCCCCCTCCCCCTCATCCCGCTTTTCCCGCAGTTTTATTTTAATCTCTCCGTTTTGTTTGGTCTCTTTTTATCCCGTTCCGATTGAAGCACCTCCCGGATCGGATCGCGTTTCGATATTTCTTTTTTTTTTGTTGTTTTTCACGTTTTCAGGATCACCGTTTTCAGCAATCGTGCTCGGATAATGTAACGCCGTTGACGATTCGAGAGGGTATCCATACGCACGCGCGCACGTGTTATCGTATCGCCGGTGAAACGCGGCTTTTCAAATCTCCCCTACTTGTGTCGTGTCTCTCCTCTTTCTCTCTTTGCCTCTCTCGCGCTCGTAAACGCTCGTTATGTACAATCACGCGCGCACTCAGAAACTCTCTTCATTTTTCCCTTCATCTCTCTCTCTCTCTCTCTCTCTCTCTCTCTCTCTCGCACACACTCTCTTTCTCTAATCACATTCTCGATAATAAGTACTCCTTTTCTTTTTCTCACACATACACACACTCTCTCTCTCTCACTCTCTCCGCGATGTGCCTTAAAAATTGATCCTTAACTACTTACTAATAATCGATTCTAATCACAGCAATTATTTATTGTTGATATACACAATCATACAGCGTCTCTCACTAATTGTTATTTTCATCTTTTTTTTGTCGACTTTTTAGCAGAGGCTACTTCTCGCTCGAACGATGCCGCGCGTCGCTCGTCTCGCGTTTTACTGTTTTTTTTTCTGTTTCCCTTATTATAATTACTACTGTACGCCGTCATCGTCTTATCCATCGGTGGAGAATATGAGGAATCGGGGAGGGTTGGAAGGGAGGGGAGATGGAAGGAGCAAGGGCGCTGGGCGGCAGAAGGATCGAAGTGGTGGAGAAAATGTGAGAGGAGTGCCTTGTTGCCACGATTAGAAAAGAGAGAAATATCTGGTTTTCCTTTTCTTTCGAAACGTATAATAACAAATTATCTTTCCACATGGTGACATGTTTATATATATATATACGTAAATGTGTGTGTGTGTGTGTGTATGTGTGTGTAAATAATTATAAATAAGAAAAAACAGGATCAGGTTTCTTCCCCGAGAAACCTGACTCGAGAAAACGAGTCACCGACGGTGTGACTCTCGCGGCCGATCGTGCGCTCGAAGGCGCGAACCACGTCGATCCAAATGCGAATACGGCGCATCGGACCCGCGCGAAACCCTTTCCCTTTCTCTCGCGGAAGTTTCTCTCTCGCGAGACACATACAGACTGCGTTGTAAAACGTGGTAGCGGTGTATCTCTCTCTCTCTCTCTCTCTTTCTCTCTCTTTCGACACCAACGAGATACAAAAAATTTCGAAGCCGTGAGAAGTTCTCGATGAACAATCTGAAGATATCCCTACGTCTAAAACTCTTCCTCGCGTAACAATAAAAAAAACTCTTTAAACGCCAAATTACAAATAAATAGAAATAAATAATCTCACGTATAAAAACGCTTCACGCTCTTCCTCTCTCTCTTTCTCTCTAATAGAATTTCTAATTAGACACTCGAGTAAATAGATCCATCTAGTTAGACACTCGAATAAATAGATCTATCAAAAGCGTCGCGCGACGCAAACGAGATTGTCTCCGATCAAATTTCTTTCCCCCGGAGAGAGAATCGATTCTCTCTCTCTCTCTCTCTCTCTCTCTCACACTCTCGAAACTCAACTCGGGGAATGTGAAACCCCGTGACACACACGATCGAATACCACTTTTAACAACACAACCTGCACTCTTTGAGCAAACTCGCTGGTGCCGTTGTACACGGAACAAGTTAGCCGTTCGCGGCTCATTCATTCGGAAAACGAAATGGTGTGTAGTAAGCGCGCGTATTGCGATTATCGAGATGAGCTAGGTACGTCGATGCAATAAATAAAAGTGAAATCGTGGATGTGTATATGTGCCGACACGAGATGTCAAAATGTCAGGGATTCCCGACTGAAAGTGACCCCCGTCGGTTACATGAACAGCGAGATGCCCCGTAATTAATAAATATGTACAACGTGTAAATCATATTTACAAGAAGACGATCTCACGTCGAAAAGAGGCGAGCACCGCAAAGTGCGTGACGACGACGAAAATGCGAACACGAGGTGTGTGTGTGTGTGTGTGTGTATGTCGCGCGAAGACTCAGCGCGACTCCGCGATATGAAGTAATATCGCGTGGCACTACACGCAAAACACTTTCGTCTCGGGGAAGGGTCATTAATTAACGCGTTAAAATCAAAGATCAACCGTAGAAAAAGTCGAGAGCGATTTTTCTTTTCGCGCAATGGAGAAGGACGTATGTAGAAAAGTCGACACTTACGCGCGCGAAGACCGTGGATTTTAATTAATTGAGCTTACACCGGAAGCACAGACTAACGTTTTCGTATTTTTTTTTTGTCTTTCTTTCTTTCTTCCTAACGCGAACGCTTTTATCGCTTTCATTTTATAATTTATACGTTTGGCACATAATGGAAGTGATCGGTACAGGATAACATCGCGAGATGGTGAAATCGCGCCGCCCGCCAATCACATTGGCGTCACAGTCCGATTCACGCAGAACGGAATTCGAAAATTTAGCTACCGTAACTACCGTACACCTCAGCGCGATTCTCTCCATTTAGTTCAATACGATAATAATAATAATAATAATATTAATAGCAATAATCTCCCACGATTGGAAATTTCCACTTCTCGGTGATTTCGAACCGAAATTTAATCACCGATGTGCAAACGCGATAAAAAAAAAAAGGAAAAAAAAGAAAAACAAAATATCCCCCGCGCGTTTCCAAAAATAAATTATTTCACTTGCGCACTAATACATCAACAAATGCTTAAACACGAAATAAAGTAATCTCAAAGGAGACCTTGCACAATGCCGTTTCCCTTCCGGTTGAAGTATAATAATTTCATTAAATATCAACGCTATGTAACGACGTTATATATACTATAAATTACACACGAACGAAGAGAGGACACGGTAACGATTACATAGCGAGCAAAGGAAGAATGTATACAGGAAGAAACTGTTGTTGACGCGCGTATGCAAACCGCTAAGACTGCGATTGCGAGAACAGAAGAAAAAAGAAGAAAAAGAGACACATCTTGCCGTTATCGAGGGATAGAAGCGGAATCTAACGACTCGTCGATCCGAACCGCGATTAACGGCCTAAAGATCCGACGGAGAGGGGCAGGAGGAGGGGGGAGGGGGCAGGGGTTACATCCTCCTAAAACAGGGAGCTGAAGAGCGGAGGATGAAGAAAGGAGAGGACGCCTCTCTTTGATCGAGTCTGTGGGCTTGAGTTCGCACCTTTTCATCGCTATTTTACCTCCTCTAATTGTCTTTATCGTATAATAAATATATATATATATATTATGTATATATATATATAATATATATCATTATTTATATTCCACGTAATAATTTCATTTGTTCCTTCAACAGAAGCGCGCGCCTGGCACCGCCACCTCAACCGTTCACCGTCGACGTTGCTCGACGTCCGACCTCGACGGTGGACTCCTGACGCGTCGTCGTCGGCCTCGCCTCGGGGGATCACGAGGCGACGGCGCCGGGAACGAGCGCCTTAGAACGTCCCGCGTCCGTTCGTTCCTCCGCGCGTCTCCGGGCTCGCAATTCCGGGAGCGCCGAGCAACCGACACGACGGGCCGCGGCGAACGTTCGCGCAGTCGCAGTTTTTTATTCTTTTTTTTCCCCCTCTACAAAAAGAAAAGAACGAGTCTTTTCGTCGTATTTTTTTTTCTCTTCTTCTCTCTTTCTCTCACCTATCTCACCGACAGATTTCGGAGAGTCCAAGATCCGCATGCAAAAGCTACGCAACTACGCAATTAATTAATAATTACCGCGCGCGATTATTAATTGTTACTTTCCCTCGACGCTCTGCGCGCGCGCGACGGTGATCGCGAAGTGACATTCGCGCGACCTTCGTTATTTCCCCGGCGGTCGACCACGAGGTTGCAACGCGCGTTTGCCGCTTTTAACGCGACGACGACGTCGCGTCACGACGCCTCCCTCCTCACCCCGTGGCGCCTCGAGATTGCGGACGCTGCGGATGCGCGCTGATGAGACACGAGAGACCACGTAATGAAGGTATATCGAGATATGGGACACGCGGGGAGAACACTATGCGATCGAGAGCGGACGCGGCGACGGAGACCACGTGGCCGAGACAGATATGTGAGGGGGCACGTAGAGGAGAGCCACGTGAGTCGAGACGCCCCGGGCGCCCGTCCTCCCTGCTCGCGCGATTGGCGGATGCGTGGTCGGTGGGACACGTTCGTGCGATCACGCGGTCGAGATCGATGTATTTTTCACTGTGAGATTCCAGCTCGGGTGCTCGAGGACACCGAGCGTCCCGTAGAAACCGGGACACGGATTACTGACTCGAGAGCGGGTCGATCGAAGAGTCGGCACGCGAGCACCAGATATCTCCCCACCTGCTGGAACGAACCTCGGCCGAACGGAGTTCTGATGAAATTATTGTAAGAACGAGAGTTGCGTCTACAAACACAAGCCGGAGATCAGCGAAGACGGACGACTTTGGTCTCTTTGGGTGGTGCTTCTTCCTTTTTTCTCGTCTCTTCGACGGTTATAAACCGAGACTGTCAATCCTCGCTCTGATCCTTGAAAGTATTCTGAAAAGTGACGAAGACACGGTACAGCACCCACGATTGATTCACGTCATTATACTTTACGTCCGTACAGGCTCTACGTGAGATTGAGTTGCGATTTCGCCGGTGTGTCGAAACATCTGGTCCTCGCGCCGAACCCGTCCGGCTACCAGTTTCCTTTACGAACAACGGTCTCGTGATACCAGCTGCACTTCCGTCGCGCCAATGTCGCGCTTCGTCCGGACGAAGTAACTAAGCTCGCGAACCGGTCGCGAACGACGTATCGTCGTCGTCGTACGCGACGGCGTGTATCCGCAATAGAAAAAACGCTAACAACCGGCCTAATATTATCCAGCATCGTCGTCATCATCATCATCTGCATTATCATCATCTTCTACACATCATCATCATTATCTTCATTATCATTTTATCATCTTCACCTCTCCCTCTCGTAATCATCATCATGATACTCATCATCACCTTCTTCTTCTTCATCACCTCATCAGAATCATCATCATTATCATCATCATCGTCTCATCAAAATCATCGTCTTCTTCATTATTATCATCATCATCATAATCATCAGCATCATTATCATCATCATCGTTCGTATAATAGTTAATAATTAATAATAATAATTCTCTCGCGTATTTCTCTCCCGTCTCGCGTCTCGCTTTTTTTTCTCGTTTAAATATAAAAATGAAAACTAACGTATCTTTGGCTTGTTCCCTTTACCAATCGGCGGCAGCCTGCAGCTGCGGCGTGCATCATTATTTTTTTTACTTTTGTTTAAATAACTTTTGTACAGTTTTGTACACTCGAGTGTGTCCGTGTACGCGCGTGCGTATCTTCTTCGTCTCTCCGTGTATGGTAATCCCAAGTAGGGATGTATGTGTTGTGTGTGTGTGTGTGTATGAATATGTGTACATGTGTGTGTCTGCGTCCATGGCTCTGTTTGCGAATGCGCGCGTGTTCAGTTTTTAACGTACACGTCTTATCTTAAAGCGCGCGCACGAAGACTCCTTCCTCTCATTCGAGTACGTGCGAAGTATGTGCTTAACGTGAGTTGCGTATGTGTGTGTGTGTTTCTCTCTTTCTCTCTCTCCTTCTCACCGTCGTGCGTGACTTCTTCCTTCTCCTCATCTTTTCTTTTCTGTCTTTCTTTCTCACTTCCTCTCTTTCTTACGAGTGGGTGTATATGTCTGTGTGTCTGTGTGTCGATTAGCAAGCTGGTTGAACACAGTGTGTGGCCCAGCCCCAGATGCCACTTGTGACAGCTTCGCGCGCTCCGCGATGCCCCATTCGCGTCCTTTCGAACGACGATAACGACCACGACGGCTTATCCATGT